CCTGCAGTGACGGGCCGCACCGGCGGGCCCTGGGCTCTCGGCTCCGGGTGCCGCCGCCCTTCTCCCACTCCCCGCTGCTCGGCGCACAGCCGGTGTGCGATGGAGGCCGGGGCCTGGGGGAGCGGGCGACGGGGGCAGCCACCGATGGCCGGCTCCGTCATCGCTGTCCCCTCCCACGCAGCAGCGACCGAGAGCCTCGGTGAGCTGCTGCTTCCCCTGAGAAAGGCAAGTCCTCCTTCCTCGCGTGGGAGGCTCTCTGCCCCCGGTGCGTCCAGGCCTTGAGGTCCAGCCTCCAAAAAACACGGGCAGGACCTGACTGCCCGGCACCAGCAGATGCACCTGGAGAGACATTTACATGGGGAAGACCGAGCTCTGGAGACCTGGAGGCCAGCAGCTGACCTGGCGGTGCTCTTTTCAGTGCCGCCTCCCCGGCCTGCTCTCCAGGGCTCTGCCCGGGGATGGACATCCTTCCATTCTGGGAGGGTGGGGGAAGGCAGCAGCCTTGGAGCTCTGGGAAAAAAGCAAAACCGAGGCCAAAACCCTGAGCTCAGAAACAGTCAAATCCCCGGAGGAGCTACTGTGCTCGTGCAGCCTGCTTCTGTCTCCCCAAATACACTATCATCGTGGCTTTGCGGGCAAAGGAGGGACTGAGAGTCATCAGCCACCGCTGGGCCTCTTCTCTCCTGCAGCCGTGTGTGAGGCGGGCTGGAGAAGGGGATGCCATGGCGCCGGGAGACGTGCACTGCAAGCCCTGGGGAGCATCCGCCATGGTGTTCTGCAGGGAGAGGACAACAGCATCCTATTAGCATCCCTGTTTAAGCAGTACCATGCCGTCGCCCACATTGCTGATACATGGTGTAAGTCACTAGTTCAGATACGATCAGGAGAAGTCGGGGAAATCTGGACCAATGTGGTGCTCTGCATACTATCTAGTGGGTAATGGGAGCACGTGCAAATGAGAAGCTTTGAAATTCAGAAGGGAATTTGTGCTTTTGCACATTTCTGTATAAGAAAGAAGATAGGCTTTTAATGTTTAAAATGAAGTTTTTTACACAGTAATTCCAGCAAGAGATGGCCAAGAGCTGCTGGCCCCAGGTAAAAGGGTTATCAGCTTTCCCATTTTGTCATTAATCTGCAGGAGCTGTCCCCAATTAACAGAAGCAGCCCTGCAATTCAGGGTCACTAAAGAGATATTGCCAGGCTCCAGTTCAGATGGCTAATAGCTGTAGGCATTTTAGCAAAGCCTATTAATTAGTTTGGTCTTGTTAAATAATATGTAACTTTAATTTGAACCTGGTCAAGAGATGATTTTTACTTTAGTACTTGCAATAACACAATGGTAGGCCCTAATGTCCACTCTGTTCCTTGTGGTTCTCAGTCACACTAGCCCATTCAGAAGGATACCCCTTGCAGGAACTGGTGTGCATTAAGCTAATAGAAAAACAGACAAATGAGCAATAACGTGCCACACACATGTGTACCATCTTGTTACAGAAGAGTTGGGTGATTAGAATTAGAACTAGCCTTTATTAGACTACAGAATTAGCTTTAGTAATGTCCATTTATTTCTCTCTTGCTGGCCGTCTTGCTCCCACTGCAGGAAAAGAAGGCTGCAAATGACTGGCAGGGTGTTGTCAGAGGCTGTGAAGAACATGGAACCACTTCTTTCATGCCAAGACAGCACTGAATGCCCTGCAAGCTCTCATTTACTGTTTTAGTTTAAAGGCAGTCTTCCTGAGCTGTTCTGTTGTGTATTTTTAAGTCCCTGTATTGCTATTTATGTAAGATTTGTGTGGCCCTGGTATTAAATATCTGGCAAAGATAATCAGTCACTAAATGAATGAATGAACTCACTAAATAGTCACTGTACCCGATAGGGTGAATATTAACTCTTCTGTATGAAAGTCTTTGCATTTTCTGCAGAAGACCTGAGCAGCAAAGTCAGGTGTAAAACTGTACATGTCAAAGCAACTCCACAACATCTCAGTGGATGGTATGTTAGTCTAGTTACATTGCTCAGTAGGGGCAGTAAACCCTGGGGTAGAGAGCTCTTGATGTGCAACCCTGCTTGCACATCTGCATCAGTTCTGCATCACAGCCACAGCACGTTCATGTTACAGCTGCCTCATAGATGCATCACCTGGCAGTGAGTATCACGAAGTCTGAGGACTCCCACTCCCCTGTTAAAGAAGAGAAGACTGCAGAGAAAAGGCAGCTGTAGACTAAGCACAGCACCTGGAGGCTGCTGGAGGACTCAGGGCATCAACTAACACAATGCACATGCAAAAAGTAATCCACTGAACTAAAAAAAGCACTGAGTCATTTTGTTCTTTGGGCTGAAAAGAGTGTTCTCTGCTTCAGAGAACTATAGATGCATCACATTTTAGAAGGAAGCCTTTGTTTCAGGATTAATGTTTACACACGTGCATCAA